AAATTGGTTATTTTGTACAGTAAAAAAAACCTGTTTAACCGGACGGCGGCACGCGCTACGCTTCTCTTTCCGCTTTGCTTTTCCCGCCTTATAAAAAATTAGCAGAGAAACTCGGCAGAAAAAGCAGTTGGATAATGAACAACTTATTAGACATGATTCGCTCCTGTGATTGAAGGGCTACTTTATGTTGAAGATAAGGAAACAAAAATAAAGTGGTCCATCGCGGCTAGCTCATCATGGCGATCTTCAGTCATCGCATTAAACAGCGGCAAGCCTCTGAAATCCATCGTCTACCTTTCGAGTGAACAACTAAAAGCTTCTCTGATATCCTTTCTGATGCATCGAGTGAAAGGCTACATCAGTTACAGCAGCTGAATTTTAAATCCTTAGTATTAAAGGTTTCCACCGATCAATTTAACAACGATAGAGGATGGGCGACAGTCGATCGACAGACGATCGAGGCTTTTCTTGAGAGAATCTTGATGATCACGTTGATCATCCTAGATGCCAAATCCTTTAAGAGCTGACTCCTCACGTGGACTCTGTTTCTTCGTAAAAGCGTCTTAATGTAGTTCCATCTCATATGATTTTCAGTCTGAAAGCTTCTGTACGATACCCTTCTGCCTTCCTTTTTCAGTTTAAGTAGCCATGGTTTTACTCAAAAGATTTCACTGGCTCTCAATGGATTTAGGCCACGCGCATGTTTTATACATTTGCAATAATGTGTTTGATACTGGTGCTGCATGAAAAGATTTATGCATCTCCCATCTATCACTGAACGGGCAAGTTAAAACACAATAAACAGTAAGGTAAAAGTTTAACCTTCTACCTCATTTATCTCACACAATGTAACAATAGTTTTGAGAAGACAGTAAAAACACGCATGATCAGTCCAAAAGTCAATCACAATGTCGCAACGCAACAGTATACGTAAATAGCCGCAGTTGTTAATTAAACGGGCATTTCTATCATACGGTTTTATTGTAGTGCAAACTTTTCTTTTGATCGCAATTTAGTGTTTGCAGTAACTTTTTATTTATGTTCCCTTCTCTTCATAGCTTTAGTTGTTTGTAATATTTTAACTCTTAAATAGCCTGATTCTCATAGAGTGCGAAGTTGTTCCCCTACTCTCTTCTCTCCCCGTTAACAGTACCCCGCACGAAATCGTGTTCAGGGCTCTTCTACCCTGTGTGATTGGATAACTCAATTGTGCGAAAGTATATTTATTACCACAACGTAAATTTTCGACACGAGATGTGAACGAATCTCGTTCATGCTCATTGCTTTTCCCTGGTTTTTTTTAAATGAGAACTTATTTGAAAACGCCACGTTAAGACTATCGAATGTCTACCGCTGAATGATAAGGCGGAATTTTCAAGCCTCTCACCAACTCTCACCGTTCTTTGATCATCGATCGATCATCGATCCTTGATCATCGAATCCAACCTCATTGGGAACTTTTACTTTTGATTTTATTATTCCATTCCTTACGACTTAGACTTAATTCTTTAATGTTGTCTGTTGTTATTCTTTTAAGGTAAGCTTTTCAGTTTCTCGTATTTCAGCTACTGTGGTGGTGACTGTTTTTACCTTGTTCTTCATGAAAGTTCCTCTCACATAATTTATCAATCTGACTGCTCTTTCCCAGCCGGGGAACTTTGACACGCCGTTAATGCGGCTAAACTTCTTCTTGACAGAAGTCGTGCGCACAATAGCCTTAACTTGAAGTTCTCATGTCTGATTATCGAAAATGTCTACTCCTAAAACTAGAATTTTCTCCCCTATAGGAAGCAGGCCCTCTGAGACAATTAGATTTGATTAGTCCCTCGTCATTTCCTCGACATCTCCCTGGGGCGTGATCGGCTGGATTACTCTTGGTCTTAATGTATCGAGAATATGAAAGTTATTTCTAAAACTTTTGAGCTTGACTAAAGAGCAGTGTGAGGCTGGAAAGGAAATTGCTCGCCGAAGCACAGATTAAGACTACGAAATTTAATTGTTTTTTTTTCAATCTGGAGACAGCTGAACCAGAGAATCGAGAAGAGTCTAGTAATCCCAGTGGCAAAGAAGCATGTGTGAACGTTCACCGAAGGCTGCGAAATCAATCTTTTTATAACTTTGGAGACGGCTGAACCAGAGAATCGAGAAACGGCTACTAATCACAGTGGCAAAGGAGCATGTGTGTATGCAACATATAGAGACAGATTAGTTTGCGCAGTGGCGTGTAGTCGTGATTGTATCACCGGCTCAATTTGCCTCCGTTTTCTATTCGCTCTGCGCTGTTGTTTAAATCACTCCCTTTTTTATCCGGATGATTTCGTTTCCTGTGTATGTCGTGTCCTAAACATTGATGAAGGCACGGAGATCTCGGATAGAGTAGATATGCATCATACAAGCTATCAGTCAGCGTTGAGTTCGACCCACCATCTTGAAATTTCATCTTCCATAAGAAGGCATAGTGACTTTACTTGTCGGAGATCTTACACACCATACTCCGCTTTTAACTTCACTCGCCTTCGCTCCGCAGCTAGTGGCGACACTAGTTGCTGGTCCACTTATCACGACTTTAACAACAAATAGTTGTACTTTGAAACGTAGACGACGGAACCATCACAACCATTCCAATCTTGCGCAGATTAATTGTGTATCCGATCTTCATCAGACAACAACGGCCATACTAATCTGACTGTGTGCACGCTGAATGCTCGCTCTATTGCGAACAAATCTGCATTATTTGCTGATTACTTCTATCAATGTAATGCTGACTTATTTGTAAAAAACGAAACTTTGTTATCAGATAACGACCCTGTAATTTGTAATGCGATAGCTTCTCCTGGCTTCAAGCTACACTGTATTTAGTTTCCCCAAAAGTACTCGTGAAGGTGGGGGTAAGCTTCTTCTGTTTATTTATTTATTTTTTTCAACAGCTTTATTGGATATTACTCATATAATACTAGTACAATAATATAACACACGATAAAAATCGAAAGTATAAGATACAGAAAGAACAATTATTGAGATAGCAAAGCAGACGTAAAAAGTCGTGGACCCAACAGGCCTGGTGCGAACAGCACCCATGACCCCTTGCGAGGCGACGCCCGTAAGATAAAAAAAGGAAACAAAATCATGAACATTGAGATCAGTAACACCATTCAGACATTTGAGCAAGAAAACGAGATTAAAAAATAATAATAATAAGCTGCTCTTTGGTCGGTTTTTCGCAAACTCTAATTTCGTTCAAAAACGTCTTTTGAATGTTCCGAATGGTCTCCATCAAATCTTCGAAATTCACGCCTTACACTGGTTATAATATATCGTCGACTGTAATCTTAGAACCAATCTTGTGACTATTATCAGTTTTATTGAGGAATTTTCAGATTTCTTGGAAACCATTATTTTATCTCGTGATCCTCTTTTCTTAACTGGTGATTTCGACATGAGCTTTGATGATCACAATCACACGGCGGCTTGTCATTTCTTTGATTTATTGGAGTTGATATCATTAAATCGACGCGTGTCGGAATCAACACATGAACTGGGCCATGGATGTGATAATTAAGCGGAACTCAGATAACTTTATCAGTGGTTAACGTATGCCAGACATTCTGTTTTCGGATAATCTGACACTGCCACTCAAACTGAAAACAGCTTGACCACCCGCTGTGAGAGAGAAATGCCATTCAAACTGAAAGCAGCGTGACCACCCTTAAAGTTAGCCTTGTTTCATTTAGGAAGTTGCGATCATTTGATATGGACGCATTTCTTGCTATGAAAAGTATCAAACACTGCGTAAGGGACACCCGTTCATGGATGTTGAACGATAATCTTAAACTGAACAACATTTGCCATATAACATCGCTTATTTTTTAATTACGTTGGCTACCGATAAGAAACATAATGGAGTTTAAAATGGTTCCAACTACTTTTATAATTCGTTAAATTAAAAAGTTTTGGGCTCCCTCTACCTAATTATGATCTCAGAATTTCCAAAAACAGATTCCTTTTAATTCATACCTGTTTTCAGTCTGAAGCTAGCCTATAGGTGGACAATTTTTACTGCTCTTTTTAAATTCTTGAATGCACTTCCTCTGAACATAGGGGGGTGCAAATACAATCGAAATCGCTCAATGGGCATTTTTAATCAAAGCGATTTACTGTACTTCAAATTTCTCTTTTAATTATAATGTAGTCCTTGTGGTAACCTTTCATTCATATTCCCTTTTCTTCATAGCTTTAGTTGAATGGTAATATTTTAACTCTTAAACTGTGATGCGCATTTGAAAATGTGATGGAATTTGCGCATCTAGATTCATCATCATTATTATTATTATCATAATCATTATTATTAATCTTAAATGGAGTGGTGAACGGACGTCCCACGGCTCCGCTATTTTTAAGAACCATTTTATTATTTTTCTCTCTTTTAACCGTTTCACTCTCAATACGTATCCATTAGAACATCTATTGGACAATTGCAACGCGTCGGTACAAATTTGTTTGGAAAGTTAAAGTGTATATGACACGAAAATTTTTTTACTGTTTTTAGGCACTTAGATATATAAGATAAACGGTTTGAGAGTTAAAATTTGACAAAAAATGGTTTTAAGCATTTTTTTTCCGTTCGAACTTCGCGCGAACGCGGACTGAAATTTGTCTCCTCGACCGCGCGGCCAAAAAGTCACATGAGCTGAGGCTGTGACGTCAGGTTGTTGTACTCTCACTTAACGACATGGCGGAAAAGAAGAAGCCAGTGAGGGAAAGTGGACGCTATTGTGTCTCCGGAGCGCCCAACAATCAAAGCTGTACGAACACCAGCTACACGCCAGGCATCTCGATGCACCAATTTACCGTGGATCGCGTTGTGAGAGAGAAATGGTTGAAATTTGTGCAGCGCCACCGAGTAGATTTTCAAAGGGCCGATTTCAAAGCATGCCTCATTGTGTTCCGTCCATTTCGGGAGAGGTTGTTACGAAAACAGCTTGGCATTTACTCTGGAGGGTATGGCGAACACGAAGCGGAATAAAGTCCTCATCAAGGGCTCTATTCCCACAATACATGCAGTTGTGTCAGAAGTTTCGGTAGAATTAACGGATCGCAAGAAGCGTCAGGTAAGCAGTGATTTTCAGTCATCTTTCGATAAGGTCAAACGTAATCGATCAGAATTTATTATATTTTGGCTATAGTTGAGACGTGATGTATTGACAGAGTACGAGATGGAAGCGAAAAAGAGGAAAGTCGAAGAGGCGAGAGCATCAAGTTCTAACTCGTTAGATTTTCACGATGTTGTTGATGATAGAGTTGAGAAAAATCCGTGCTCCGATTCAAGTGACATTCATGAGAGCTCCATCAATACAATTTCCACTGCATCCAATGTTACAATTGCTGCTCCTCTTCTGGCATGTACCACCCATTTGACTTCACCAGTTGCCTCAACATCCGCAAATATTAGCTGTACAACGTTGATCAGTGAAACACCTCTCTCCGCTGTTACTCCATTCCGAATCTTAACTCCACTGCATGGCAGCTCTTGTGTAGACTGCATGCACAAATAAAAAGTGAGAACCTTGCAGAAACAAGTTAGGCGCTTGAAGACCGCAGTGAAAGAACAGAAAAAGGAGATAAGGGAGCTAAGAAGTGTGAGTACTGAAATAAATCATCTTATTATTTTGTTTATTCTCTTGTACCTTCGCATCATGTAGAAAATCATTGTCCATATTCAACACGCATTAATACATTATTATGCTGTGAATTACTCAAACATACATGTTTAAGGATTTTTCATTCATGAAGACAACAACTTTTGAATCCCCTTTGATGGTTTGCACTAAACAGAAGGTGACTGAAACAGAAACTGAGGAGGAAAATGTCATAGAGGAGGAACGTGGGCCTGAGGATTTGTTTGTTTGGTCAAGCGCTTGGAGTGATACAGAAACAGAAACAAAGGATGGGGATTGGAAGTTGTAGAGGGGCTCCACAGATTCCACTGGAGAGGATGAGACTGAAGAAGATCCATCAGATGAAGATTTAGAGAAGGATATCAGGTGGGTACTATTCGTAACAACCTTCTTTGCTTTATTATATTCATAATCTTTTTCTTAAATAATGAAATGCATTCATTTACTTCTAAAATATAATTTTCTGCTCCATTTTAAAGACTGTTTTTATGATTACTCTGGAACATATGGGCATATCCTCTTGCAAACCAGACTTGAAAAATAATGGAGAATTGCTCAAATTGCACACAGTCACTTTCAATATCTTCAAAGCAACCAGGAAATATAGTAGATAGGCATCAAAGTAAATAATTGGACATCATATGATTCAAATGACCAAGACACACTTTAAATTTTGCAGAGTTGATTCTGACACTCCTGGGTATGATGAACCCAAGTTCATCATGTTCTACAGCATGCTGTTGCAACTGTTTACAATGTTCTGTTTCAACTGCAAAGGAAATTCTCCAAAAGCTAGAATGAGGCAGTGTGGAACCCTGGTCAAAGTGACTCAGACTTGTTCACAATGTCACCAAGAGTACTCTTGGAAATCACAACCAACTGTTCTGGGAAAATTCCTTGCTGGTAATATCCTATCGAATTCTGGAGTCTTGGTGGCTGGTGCATCTATAAGCAAGGTCTTGCTGGTGTTCCGTCATATGGAGCTCTGTGGATATTCTGGCTGCACCTTTTTTCAACATCAAAGATCTTTCCTGCTCCCTGCTGTCCTTCTATACTGGGAAAGATATCAGGCTAATCTGATAGAGAGTATAAAGAAGATAAAAAATGTGGCTTGGAGTGGGGATGGCAGGTTTGACTCCTTGGGGCACTCTGCCAAATATGGAGTGTACACAATGTTTTGTACCACAATCTTGAAGGTTGTCCACTTTGAATTAGTTCAGGTAAGTTTTGTATGAATACTGGTTATTAGTGTATACCACACAGGTGAATAGTGCTTTTCATGTGTGCTGATTGGCTAGTTGGAAGTGGCTAGCAGATACTATTCACCTCCTCAACTGAAGAGACAAACATGTGTCTCAACAATGTAATTTTTCAAACCTTTTCTTGGTTTCTGGGTTTCTGTGTAGTATATACCTAAATAATTATGATATAAATTATGGGTTCCCTGAAATGGAATGGTCTGATGAATAATTTACAAAATGATAATGATATTAATAATAATAATAATAATAATAATAATAGTAATAATAATAAAAATTACAAGAACCCATGATTTGTATGGTATTTCCTGGTGGTTTGATAACCTTTATTTTCTTGTTTGTCTCAGGCAAATGAAACTGGAGGCAGTCAGCAGACTGAACTGGAAGGAGCGAAGAGGTGTCTTCCTTTTTTGTAGCAGCTTGGTTTGCTAATTGGTATTTTTGTGTCAGATAGGCACAGAGGCATTGCAAAATGGATTAGGGAGAACTGTGTCAACACCAAGCACTATTTTGATATATGGCATGTGGCAAGATCACTAGGGAAAAAGTTGTTGGCTCTGAGTAGAGAGAAAGGATGTGAAATTATAAAAGAGTGGATGAAGGGAATAAGAAAGCATCTCTACTGGTGTGTAACCTCAACAAAGGCTGGGTTTGAGTCCCACATCCTTGCCACAGGGAATTCATTATTGCGTCATGTCAGCAACAAGCACAATAACCACCCAGATCCACTTTACAAACAGTGCTGTCAATGACAGCTTGAACCCAGGAGGTGGATTAGAGTTGGTATGAACATCAATAATATACTGCATATCTTTTTCAACTTGCCATTGCCAGTTCTGTTTTTGTTTACAATACCCCTTAGGCAAATAACTTAATCCACTGTTGTCAACAAACTAGACCATTGTGTAATTTCTTGCGTATTTACCTTTAACAGGAACTGAAGCATTTGACAAACTGAAACTGCCGTTGACCAAGAAAATGTTACTGAATGACATAAAGAAACTTTCACCAGATGCCCAGACAAGTTGCCTTAAAGGCTTCCATGCGACCTTGAACTATTGGCATCCTAAAATGACTTGTTTTACTTGGCTGGGGACTCTCAGCAGGTAATTTTGATTGTGTAGTAATACGTTTTCTTTTTTCATAGATTTTTATTTTCAAAATCCACCAAGTCAGTGATGTAGATTGGCCACCATAAAGTGTTCTAAGGCTTTCTTAGCTTTAAAACCACTTTACTGTGACCAATCTACAAAATTAACTCAGTTGATAAAACCAAATTATTTTGTTACACTTCTCTACTGATACAGCACCAGTTCCCTTAGAAAATTACCCCATTTATTTCTAAGGGAGTCACTTGTACTAATTTTATGTTCATGTCTCTTGCTTAATCAGAATATATCTATGTTTTGGTGTTTCTTTCTCCTAAATGATTTCCAGTCATTTTTTTTGGATGAACCTATAAAATGGACATGAATTTATTCATTCCTGAATTTTTTTTTTTAAAAGGCACATACTTGCAAGTTTGCATTTCAATGAGAACTTACAGAGGGAAACACAAAGGACATTTGATGGTAAAGAGTCCTTTTGGGTCACTTACCCAAAATTTAAAATGGGAGAGGAAGTTGTGTGAGAGGTGGCATGCCCACCTACCTATGGTAAGAATAAATATGACTACAGTGGATTAACACTTATTTATAAGAAAACAACATTAATGATGTTTTAATACTTTGCTTTACTTGCCATATTCTTTGGTAAAACTGTGATACCCTTTAAAAGAGTATTATTTCTTGTTTAGAAATACCCTGAACCTGAACATACCTTTTTGTATATTATAATATATATATATTTTTTGTTGTTGTTGTTGTTTTCAGGTTATGTTGATGGTTTGAAGAAACTACTCTTCTATTTTCCAAAAGAAAAGAGGGAGGAAATAATTAAGAAGTATGCATCAAGAACACCTGAGCCCCTCAATCAGCAGTTTTCAGAAAGATTGAGCAAGGAAGAAGCTATAAAGGCATATAACACAAAAAAGGCAACGAAGAAAACAGCATTATTTCCACCTGGTTAGTTAATAGCTTTATCAATCCATTCATTTCAACCATCCAAATTTAACATGAAATGAATATAATTTATTACAATGAAGCGTTATTAAGTGTGAATTATTTCATTTTTGCCACCTGTCTGTGGGGGGCTGCTTATTTATCCACCTGTGGATATGTAACTCTCTACTTGAAGTTGGGAATACCTGTAGATGGGCTTTGATGTTAAATGTGAATTTTTTATTCCCAACTCAAGACAAGTGAGAATGAAGCACATTTTTATTCAGTCTGGATTAAACACCATTTGTCTATGGGCATACAAAGTAACACACCAACACTAATGATGCACTCACATACTATATCACCATTGTTATCCTATAGAATCAGAACAAACTTCACAACAAGCTGATGGCAACAGTCAACCAAACAGTAGTCAATCCACTTCTAGATGCACCCGCAAAAGCAAAAGGCCATCTCATTGTCACAAGAAGAAAAGTGGCAAATAAAGTGACTCACAGTTTGTTATCCATGTCTGCTTTCTCATGGTCTTTATTTGTTGAAGTATATACAAAATGACATGGCCCATGCAAATGAAACTAAACCGGGAGCATTTTTTTATCACAAATTTTTTTTTCATGGACCAATGAAGTACATTTACAAGAGTTCAATGCTCCTTTCCATCCTGGACATTAGCATATCCCCTGTGTTGTTGTGTGTTGTATTTTTTCCTTACACTGTGATAAACACAAGCTGGGAGAGGTTGTCTGTTTTCCCAGCCTATGTACCCACAAAGCCACCTCGTTGTCCATCTATATGCAACGGCTCTGATGAACCTATATGTAAACATAAAAGTGAGAAATGAAGACATCTACAGTTCAAGTAATTACCGGACCTTCATTCCTAACTGAATGACAGGAGACTCGTTTCTTATGACTGGAGAATTAAAAAATTAATATGAAACCACAAGTATCTCAATTATTAGATCAAGCGATTAAAACAAGAATGACATAGAACTACATATTTAGAAGGAAAAAAACCTTACTCGTTTTCTGACCCTCCACTGCGGCGACGATAGGTTCCTCCATATTGGCGTCTTAGGAGAGGAGCGACTTGCAGAAGAACGGCGCGGTTCGTAATGGCGTTTAAGTCTTCATGTTTGGTAATGCAATTGATTCGTTCGATCGAACCATCAAACATCAATTTCGCGGACGAATTAGAAACATCGAAACTCGAGGGCACCGACCAGCATTTCAGTATCACACTGCTCGCATTCACACCTGGAAGAGGTAAAGGAAAAATTATCGGACAAACTTAGCAACGCAGGAGCGCATATCAGCCCTGCTTATGTTCAAAAGGAATCACGGTAAATCTTTTAACCTACCTTGAATCCACACTCACATTTCCTTCAAATCTAGACTCTAAGTCGACGGGGTAAGTCCATCAGTATCTGTTTATTCTTCATTTGCGTTCGGGCTTACTTCTTCGCCACAATCCGCAAGCGGCTCATCTTCATATGGGATGATGACACCATCAATAACTCTGGTTTCACTATCTGAACTGTCACTCTGCTCCCAATCGAGACCCCTAGAGGAGTCACACGATTCATTACTGACCTCGGAATCACTGGATGTCGCGGAAACAGACACGGCGGAAAGCGACGGATTTGAGAAGTACGCGTGGTTTTGTTGTAAATTAATTTGTTCACTGATCAAGCGATCAAACAACGTAACGTCATAACCTTGTTTCTCGTCCCCAGTCTCCTGAGACAGGTTTTATTTAGAAATCGAGCAAGTTTTGCATGAAGAAAAGCGGTCAGAGAAAAAAAAATTATCATTTTGCAACTGTCTCACAGCTTATCATACATATTGAACTGCCAAAATCCGGGGGAAAAATTTTCGTGTCATATGCACTTTAAACAAGCAAACGAAACCAAAAACCGCATAACCAACATCGATGATAGTGAGCTGGTTGTAAAGAGGAACATTGCAAGATATGTCGAGGAAACAGGGCAAATTGAAATGGACAGAGCTTATGAATAGTGATCTTCTGGAATGCAAGAGAACAGCGAAGAATCTGATATCGTCTGTAGACCCTCCATGAAACGCTACCGGGAGGAAGAAGGGTTATATCGGAGTAATGGTGGAGTTATGGGAAGAAAAGGGTTACAGATACTTGGGGCTGAAAAGCCAGAATTTACGGGATCAAGCCTCGAGATTGGAGAAAATGGAGCAAGAGCAGAACTATACACGAAATAATAGCACTTTATTCGAGAGTGGGAACAGGTTAGAAATTGAGTCGGATGATATAGAAGAGAAGGCAGCCGAGGAAAATAATAATCAAGCTGACTTGCGAAACAATCAAAACAATAGCCCGCAGCAGCAGTTTGAAAACGCTAATTCCGTTATCTCGGATTTTCATCAGCCAGTAACAACCGAGAGTGGCCGAGTACCTTCTCCCATGGGACTGGCTAGTACAATAGTCACAGATCAAAACAAAATCAAACCAAATCTGCCCGATTATGTTTTGTTTCCTTCCGAAATAAAGAACAAAACATGGGGTAATATTAGCTACGCGAGCTTCTGTAATATTGTCAATGGTGTTTACGACGAAATCGTCTACTACAGGAGAAATATATCCAATTTACCATCTAGCCGTGCAGGGAAGAGTTTCATTGAAGAATTAACTTTCTGGATTAAGCAGTTCAATGCAGATTCTGATTTGAACTCAGTTGCCTTGAAAGCATTCACGGTGCTCCCAACTTTGATCCTGCAGAAACCGTCCGCTACTTCTAAAAGCGAGGAACACAGCGCCGCAATAGAGCGTTGATTAGCTCTCTGCAAACAAGGGGACCTTCATTTGTTGCTTAAAGAAGTGAGGTTTATACAGGGAAAATTTGTGAACTCTAAGAAAGTTAGGACGGTCGAGGACGTATCCAAAGTTTTTTCAAAACTGGTTCTGCAAAGAAAATTGTTAGCCGCAATGAAACTCCTAGATAACGAGAGCTCGTCTGGCCTGCTCGACCTATCACCAGACGTCCTGCGAGGATTACATGACAAGCACCCAGAGGCGGCTTATATTGCAGAGGAGAGTTTGTTGCACGGTCCAGTTGATTATATTCAACCAAACGTGTATGATCTCATAGACGAAGAAATGATTTACAACTCAGCAAGCAAAACCAAGGGCTCGGCAGGGCCATCGGGAATGGACTCGGAGCTTTATAGGAGAATCATGTGCTCTAAGAACTGTAAGACTGAGGGTAAAATCCTAAGAGAAGAGATACGTTCAGATATGATAGATATGTTCACGAGAAATCTGCTTAAGAAATCGTACCATCCATTTTTCCTGGAAGCCTTCACATCTTGCAGGCTCATCCCGCTCGACAAGAACCCTGGAATCAGACAAATGGGCGTTGGAGAGGTCCTAAGGCGAATAGTGGGGAAAACGGTCGGCGGTTTCTTAAAGGAGGAAATAAGAGAAGCGGCAAGTCCCCTACATGTTTGTGCTGGTCATAATGCAGGGGCGGAGGCTGCGATACATGCAATGAGCCAAGTGTTTGAAGAAGAAGGAACAGATGGGATTCTGTTGATCGATGCAAGTAACGCCTTTAAGCAAATGAATAGGTCAGCGGATTCGCACAGTATCCAGATCACATGCAAAGAAATGGCGCTCTATGTAATAAACACCTGTAGAAGCCCATCTAGACTGTTTATCTGCGGTGGAGGTGAAATACTTTCACAAGAAGGCACTACGCAAGGGGATCCCCTAGCGATGCCATAGTACTCAGTCAATACATCTATAATGATTCAGAATCTGAGGGCGCACTGCCCGATGGTTAAACAGGTGTGGCTTGCAGACGACTCTGCTGGAGGAGGGAGAATCGCGCAGTTGTACGACTGATACAAGCAATTGAGTAAAGAGAGAGAAATGTTTGGATATCTCGTGAACGGGTCAAAGTGCTAGCTGATTGTTAAGTCTGAGGCACTTGCAGATGAAGCAAAGAGGGTGTTTGGAGATTAAGTCAATATAACAACTGAAGGTCAGCGCCATCTAGGAGCAGTCATTGCGTCGCAAGAATACAAAGATCAATATTGTGAGGAGAAAATTCGCATATGGAAAGAGGAAATCGAACGGCTCTACGAAATTGAAAAGAGTCAGCCACACACAGCGTACATTGCCTTCACAAAAGGGTACAAGTTAAAGTTCACCTACTTTATGCACACTATAGATTCGTTTGAGGATTATGTCGATCCAATCCAGGAGGCGATTGACGACCTACTTCTTCCAATCAGAGCCTCTCCCTAACGAGGTGCGTCTACTTGTCACCTTAACAACATCTCAAGGGGGTCTGAGCATGCCAGATTTGAGAGCTGAGGCGCCACAACAGTTTGCTGCCTCGAAGTCAATAACTACTGCGCGCGTAGATTCTATCACATCGCAGAGTACATTTATGGTACCAGGCGAAAGCTCTATGGAAGAGCTTAAGAGACATCACCAGTCACTTAAGAGGGCGCGTAACAAAGAGAAAATGGAAAGCATTAACTCAACTCTTTCCCAGATCTGCTGCGACTAGTTAATCAATCGAGAGACAAGGGCGCAAGTTCTTGGTTAAATGCGATGCCTCTCGCAGATCAGGGCTTAGCCCTTAATAAGCAGGAGTTCAGACTCGCTACGCTTACGGTATATTTTGCCTCTAGTCGATCTACCAAGTCTGTGTGTGTGTGTGTGTGTGTGTGTGTGTGGGGATAAATTTACTGTAGGCCATACCCTCTCATGTAAAAAGGGGGGCTTTGCAGCGCAGAGCCAGAGCAAGAGAAACAACACCGTAAGCAATGCACAAAGAAGAAAACATTTTCGTTATCTATTTCTGTTAAGAGAACCAAGCTAAAATAAAAGATGGGGAACTACTCAAAAGATACCCTTCAAACATGCTGATGAACGACCTAGAGTTGAGCTGTCGATGTAACAGTGGCTGACACTGTAAAAAGATGGTTTCTTGCTTTGTTTCAAAATCTATGTATTACAACAGCTGATTCGGACAGTTTTTTTTTTTAAATTTCGATAATAAGCTCCACAGAAATATTTTGTCAATTTGAATCGTACGTACGCGGCATTTCGCAATAACTTTCTATCAGTTTAAAAGAAACCTTGATACAACGTGCTGATTGATTCACGTATTTCGTGAGAAAAAAAAAAGTGTTCGAAGCGGTCGAAAATAAGTCACGATGGCTCTTTCTCCAAAACAACCTCATGTTAAAGAGTCATGTTGAGTCAGTCCATAGTAATCTATATGAATGATAATCCAGATTAAAAGGAATGTCTGCATGGTGCATGACAAGGTATATAATTAAAAATACTCTTGATACCATTTAAAAAATATGCAACTATTTTTAACACTATCGGATATATCTTCATTAGCCTCACTGAAATATAACCAGGCTTTACTATTATTCCATTATCCTAAGGCCGAATAGCATTGTTTATTTGTATTCAGGAACCCTTGGGCTCCGTGATTTTTTTTATAAAACGGTAAGAGTATGGCGGAAAAACTATTTCGTTAGCGTTAGCTGTAGTACAACCTTTGTGAAACTTGAGGTTTTATGTGATCTTGTTAAGCAGTTATTGGGTGTTTGGCTCCATGGTTAACCAAATTCAATTTCAATTTATTGATTTCTGACTTTTTTAGCTTCGCTTTTCATTAACGTTGATTTACAGTATAGGAGTCTTACTTACAACGTCAATATCCCCCGGTAGGAAACCTTAATGCCAGCGAACACTCCAGACGGTAAATCCTGTAGCTGGTTGTTGGACAAGTTCCTGGAATAAATAAGTCATTTCAACGAAGTGTGAACTCTGGTGTCTGCAACATGTGTGTTTTCCAACATCTTGAAAGCACCCGATACTTTTTCAAAATAATAACATGAATGTTTGTATTTACCTCATATAAGTGGATAATTAGATCAAGTTACTCTACCCTTAGATCTTCATGCAAAATAACATTATTCGATTAATCTGCCAACATTTCACACCATCTACATGGTTTTCTGAGCAGTGGTACAAATTCTAAAAGATAGCGAACACTTTGGTCAGATTAATTGCTTGTCGATAACTTAAACTCGCAAATTGAAAGAAATGGAGGACTCATTTAATTCCCCTGTTGTTATATTCTTTTAACCCGTTGGTGATAAGTCCGAATAGTTTATTGAAACGCCAAGTGACCAGAGAGAGAATCTTTCATTCGAAACGATGAGAAGTAAAGTTGATATTAGCACATAAATGTAATGTGAAATTTTTTCAGAACTCTCAGCATAGATTTATTAACACACTAAATATTAACTGAATTTTCATTTGAGCCACGAGCACTAATTTTCTACTGAGTGACATCCATTCACGAATAACAGTTGTACCGGGCGTTTTCAGCGCCGGTTGTCGTTATATGGTCCAGAGCGGTATTGTAGAGACTAAATGACTGTAAATAGATGAAAATCATGTATGTGAACTGCGAATATATAAATGAATATAGAAGCAATCCTCGCATCAATGAACACTGCATTAGCGAAAATAAGGTACAAATTCCGTACAAGCCTGAATTTTTTTCAGGCCCTATTTTCCCTGGCTACTGCTTAAGTGGTGTTCATTACTGCGAGGAAATCCGTACTCATTTCTTTATCTGCAGTTCACTTATATGACTTTCATATATTTACAGCCATTTATTCATCAATTCACGGGTTTATTTGGAAGCAACGTAATGATCGGCTCCTAATTGGCTTGTTAGCTCAGTTGGTAGAGCGCTGCACCGGTATCGTAAAGGTCATGGGTTCAAATCCCGTACAGGGATACAGCGTTTCATGCCTCATTTTCACTACTGCTTAAGATTGAGATGTTCATTACTGAGAGGATCGCTTCCATACTCATTGTATAGACTGTTTTCATAGCATTATGAGCGGTTTTGTGACAACTAACGTCAAGCATTCATCAGAGGTGTCATAGCGGTGGTATTCAAAAGCTCACCAGCAATGTCTTTAAGCGGTTGCCTTTGACTGTTTCTCAAACTGTTTTCCAGCGGTGGTCTTTAGGCCTTCATCACCGCTGTTAAAGCGCTTGCATTAGACCGTTCCTGAGCGATTTAGCAGCTGTTGCCCCCTGATGGTCTTGCAGCGAACGCGCTTCCGAGCGGTTTTTTTGTGGCTAATGCCTTCTACAGGAGGCGAAGCCAGATAAGTTGTCGAGATTAGCGAGTGAGTGAGTGAAACGATAGAATTCTGATTAGTGTTTTTTCGGTGTTTTCATTCCGACATTCGCATTCGATACACAGATGAATTCTCTCCTTTTGTGATTTCTAGCTTATAGCCACCAGCATATTATATTTACAGACTTTACAGTTGTAACCTTGACACTACGGAAGACAGCAAAAGACGATAAACATATCACAATCATTTCCGGATTGCGCGCGATTCAAAACAAAGTTTTCCCTGTAGAAATAGATGTGATCGGCACATAATAATACAGAGGAAAAATTTTCCTTCCAAGAGAGAGCGTTTACCGTTTAAATCAACAAATTATGTGAGACCGAAGTTATAATCATCTTTTGGTTCTTCCTGTGACACTACAAAAGACGATAAACATCTCAAAATAGTTTCTCAGTGCCATCCATCGAAGTATAATTGAAATAAAAACTTTTCCTTGCAAAAATATCTCAGTAGATGTGATCTGAACATCATGGAAGCTTTGCGCAATTTTTTTCTTCAAAAAAGGAGAGCATTTTTCTGTTTGAATCAACGAATTATGTCCAAAGAGCCGCTAAATTTGCGAGGCGAGGAAGCTGCGAA